AGATAATGTTCAGGAGTACACAGATAAAATTTATTTGTGGAAATTTAAAAGTGAAAAAATATTAAAAAATCAAAATAGTAAAAATAATTCTAATAGTGTAATTTCATAACAGGTTCTTGACAATATTAAATTACCCAAGTTAACATTACCGACTTTTGGTGGTCATATTACAGAATGGATAGCTTTTAAAGATCTTTTCAGTGCTTGTGTAAGAAATAATACAAATTGAGCTAATGCTAAAAAATTGCAGTATTTGAAGGCTTCGTTGAAAGGTGAAGCATATCGCATTATTCAAACCATTCAAATTTCGGATTGTAATTTTGAAATTGTAATTTTGAATCTGTTAGACGAAAGATATTCAAATAAGAGTGAAACAAATTTTTGCATATATTAAACGTTTTCTAAGCTTACCAACTATTCAAAATGAATCAGCATTTGCTATTTTAAATTTAGTTGACAATATTAATGAAGTAATTGGTTCTTTAGAAGTATTGAATCAAACCATTGATAATTTTGGTGACACCTTAATGACTTATTTAATTTTGCAAAAATTAGACCCTTCTACAAAATTATGGTGGGGACGTCAATTAAAATCTAATGAGCTTCCAAAACTTTAGACTTTAATTGAATTCCTAAAAAGCTATGCAAGAACACTTCAAAATAGCAAATCAACAAGTAATAAGGTACCTAAATCTGTGTTTCAAAATAAGAAAAATGTTATGGTTGCTACTTTGGGTTGTGGTTATTGTAAAGAAGATCATAGTTTAGCCAAATGTTCGAAATTTCTAAATTTATCGGTTTAGCAAAGGATAGAATTTGTAAAATCTAATCGTTACTGTTTTAATTGTTTATCTAATATGCACTTACTCAAAAAATGCAAGAGTTTAAATACATGTCAACATTGCTTTAAATAATTCAAGGAATAAAACTCAGTTAAACAGTATATCTCCGCCTACCCAATCTATCCCTAAAAGAGATGAATTAACGAGTCCTAAGGACGTTTCAGCCACAGTTTGTGCCTCTCATTATGATTCGAATGCAAAAGGTAATCAAACCAGTCACATTTTATTCTGTACTGCTTTAATAAAAGTTCAAAATTCTGAACAACAGTTTGTGAAGTGTAGATGTTTATGTGACACTGGATCTCAGAGATCATTTATTTCAAGGGATTGTGTGAAGAAATTAGGATTACGAGTGAAAGATAATTCCATTTCTGTATCATGTCTAGGAGAATTTAATACTATAAGTAATGGGGAAGTCGATTTAGTATTCACTTCTCATTTTAAAAGTGATATTCGTGTATCAACATCAGCGTTTGTACTGGACAAGGTGACAGATAACATTCCCTATGTATCTTTGCCATCAATCATCTTCGATAACTTCAGTGATTTACAATTAGCTGATCCATTATTTTACAACCAGTTGACATTTTATTTGGAGTAAATGTATTTCTGCATTTAATGACGGAAGAAATTGTCAAACGTGGTCCTGATCTACCATTTGCTCTAAATTCGAGGTTGGGATGGATAATTTCGGGTACTACAAATTTTGAATCTACAAATTTTGAGCCAGTATATGTAAATCATTTGAACACAAACACAGATGAGTTAGTAAATTCTTTCTGGGAGTTAGAAAAGTTTCCAAATGTATGCAACCTTTAACAAATGAAGAAAAACTTTGTGAAGAACATTTTAATAACTCGCAATTTAGAGACACATCAGGACATTATTCAGTTGCATTACCATTTAAACATAACAGAGATATTCTAGGTGACTCCCGTGAAATGGTCGCACAGAAGATTTCAATACTTGGAGAAGAGGCATGTTATCTATGAAAGAAATTTACAACCAGTATATTCACTATTATGAAAGAGTACTTTTCACTAGAAGCACGTAGAATTAGTGCCAGACACAGATTATGAATAGAGAATAAACACTATTATATCCCACATCACTTCGTGTTGAAGGACTCTAGCTTAACAACAAAATTGAGAGTTGTTTTCGATGCGAGCGCTAAAACAACCACAGGTGTTTCTTTAAATGATACGCTAATGATAGGCTCAAAAATACAAGATGACTTAGTTTGTATTTTACTAAGATTTAGACTTCATAACATTGCAATAACCGCTGATATTAAAATGATGTACAGACAGATAAAAGTTCATGAAAAAGATAGAGATTTTCAGATAATATTATGGAGAGATAGCCCGTATAAACAAATACAAGTTTGTCGTTTGGAAAACAGTTACATATGGAACTGCAGCTGCTCCATATCTTGCAACCAAAGTTTTGAGTCAGTTAGCGATTGATGAAGGATTAAACTTTCCATAGGCAAAGAATATAGTTTTAAGAGATTTTTATGCTGATGATATGTTAACTGGTGTAAAAGATAGTTCGGAAGGTACTGCATTGATAGACGAACTGCAACAACTGCTAAAAAGGGGTGGCTTTGAGCTTCACAAATGGTCGACAAGTGAACCGTCATTGTTAAAAACCTCTGGCTTAACAAACACAGATAGTGACAATATTCATCGTGTAATAGAAGACAAAACATCGAAAGTTCTGGGATTGGAATGGCATCCGGACAATGATGAATTCAAATGTAATGTCGGTGTAATAGAGTATCAAAGTGTTCCGACTAAAAGGATTATTTTGACATTCGTAGCAAAACTATTCGATCCATTGGGGTGGATAGCTCCGTTTGTAATTCTCGCAAAAATGATCCTTCAGCAATTGTGGAAATTACAATTATCATGGGATGATCCCGTAACAGAAGAGATTGATCGAAATTGGAGAAATCTGTGTAGAGAAGTTAAACTTTTGAATTCTATAAATATACCTAGGAAAATTCTGCTACCTGATTATTTTCGATGTGAACTTCACGGATTTTGTGATGCGTCTGAAAGAGGTTATGCAGCAGTTATTTATATGAAAACTTGCAATAACTCTGACATTGATGTTAAACTCGTAACAGCTAAAATTAGTGTAGCACCATTAAAATCTATTACGATTCCAAGACTCGAATTATGTGCAGCAGTGTTATTGGCACGCTTGATTCAGTCTGTAAAAGCTGCATTAGTTATAAATTTTGATTTAGTGCAAGCTTGGAGTGATTCACAAATCGCGTTGTCATGGCTAAGGTCAGATCCTAAAAAATGGAAACTATTCGTATCCAATAGACTTTCTGAAATACAATCCATCTTACCACCTGAGAACTGGAGTTATGTTGATGGAAAGGAAAATCCAGCTGATTGTGATTCACGTGGGTTATTTCCTGCAGAACTATTATCTCATCAATTGTGGTGGAATGATTACTTCTTGGTTAAAGTGAAGTGAGATTGCCTTGTCTAAAAATATTCTTATAGATGAAGAGGCATTACCAGATGCACGTAAAACAGTCTCATTTGTACTTTCTGAACCTGTACAGGAACTTGCTATTATATCAAATATATCTTCATTTCCAAAGTTACAACGCATATTTGCTTGGATATTAAGATTCATATCGAATTCTAAAGTAGCATATCTAGAAAGAAATAGTCTTTTTTTATCTAGTAATGAAATTCGAGCTGCAACTTTCTGTATTGTCCGAATAATACAGCGATTTCACTTTTTTAAAGAAATTCAATGTTTGAAATTGGGAAAGGACTTACCTACAACAGCTAAGGACACAAACCTCCTTAGCTTTGTGTTCCAATTTTAGATGACAACAAAGTGTTACGTGTAGGAGGAAGACTGAAAAATGCGCAACTATCAGAAAATGAAAAACATCCAATCTTATTACCTTCAAAACACAATCTGACAGAAATCATAATTAGACACTTTCATGTCAAATATCTGCATGCAGCACCAGAACTTCTTCTATCTTTAATTAGACAACAATTTTGGATTATAGCTCTAGATCTGCTATCCGAAAAGCAGTAAGATCTTGTATTACGTGTTGCAAACTTAGAGCTAAAACTGCAAGTCAAATAATGGCTGATCTACCGGAATCTAGAGTAACACAATCGCGACCATTTCATCGAACTGGAATAAGATTTTTTCTGGACCGTTCATGATTAAACATCGTGCAGGACGTGGCACAAAAATCCATTTAAATGCTAAGTATGCTTAATTATGTGTTTTGTAATGAAGGCAGTACATCTTCAAGTGGTAGAAGATTTGTCAACAAAGGCATTTTTTTAAGTGCATTGAAACGATTTATTGCAAGAAGAAGGGAAACCTATTTGAAATTTATAGTGACTGCGGTACTAACTTTTAAGGTGCAGACAAAGAAATAAGAAAATGTTTTTTGCAATGTAAGCAAATCAAGAAATTCACAAATTTTTGTCATTAGAGGAAATAAAATGGATATTCAACCCGCCATCATCTCCCCATTTTGGTAGACTATGGGAATCGGCAGTAAAGTCAATGAAATTACATCTAAAAAGGACTGCTGGGACACTGTGCTGACCTATCCGGAATTTCAGACCTTGATAGCGCAGGTTGAGGCTTGTCTCAACTCTAGGCCATTGTGTCCAACATCGGCTCATACAAATGATTTAACTGCATTAACACCTGGTCATTTCCTAATAGCTACGTCTTTAACTGCCATACCTGAACCAGAGCTAAATTATAGTTCCTTCAATCACCTTGACAGTTGGCATGTGAAGACAGTTTATTTTTCATCACTTCTGGAAAAGATGGAGTAGAGAATACCTGTCTCAGCTTCAAAAACCTAAATGGCAAAAAATGTCAAAACAGTCAAAGTCAATGACTTAGTCCTCATCAAAGAAGAACCTTCCGTCTTAAATGGAGGTTAAGGGAGAATAATTGCTGTTCATCCGGGCTCAGATCAATAGAGTCAGAGTTGCTAGTATTAAAACTGGTCATGGTGTCATAAAACGACCAGTCGTGAAATTGCGTCCTCTTTCTATTCAGACTAAAAACTATGAACTGCTGCTTCGCATTATAATATTTTGTATTATTTTTCTTATTTGTTTTGTTTTTTTACAGATTAAGAAGTTTCAAAATGCTCCAACTGTTGAAATACCCTGGGATTTCAACGAGGGCCAGGATGTTTATGTGAGTATCGTTTGCTTCATTTTTTTGTTGCAAACAGCGTAAATTTCTTTTGTTTTTCTTCCTTTAGTTTTGAACTTGATGTGTGGCAACAAGATAATTGATTGATAGAATTGTGTTTGTGACAGCCATGTAGAATGGCTCGCTTATTTTGTATCAATTATTCCGCATCGCTAACATATTATTTATAATTAGTGTAATGAAATAAAAGTGTAGGAATACAGTCCATTTGTTGATTGATTATAGTTTGTGAAACATATTAAGTGAAAGAACAACTTAAGTAATTACATCAAATATAGATTTGTTCCAAATTCTAACAAAACATTTTCATAGAATTGTTGTTTTGTTAATATGTTTTTCATTGATGTTTTGTTAATTGTTTGTTTATTTATATTCTTCCATAGATAAGATAATGCAAGCTATTTATCATTACATTTTAATCAAATAATAAAATCCATAACATTACAATTTAAACGCAGTTATATGTATGAATAATGCATGTTCAACATAAAATTTTGTAATTTAGTTATTTCTGAATATTAACCCGTAACAGGGACGTGCGGTCTGACGGACCCAACGAGATAATATACTGTTATATGAAGTCGTTGGACGGACCGCGCCACATGTTCATCCCATCACCCTATTGCATGCTTTGTCCAAGTGAATGGATTCTTCCCCTAGCTTCATGTTTCGTGACCTTCTTTCTGACCCCTTCTTATAGGAATGCTTTGGCAAGTGTATCTGTTGAAATTCTTCTAGAACGGTCTGTGAGACCTCACCTCCCTTTCAGTGTTACAATTTTCGGCAGTAGTAAACACATCGCTCTGAAGTTAGGTCCGCGGAGATTCATTTATCCTTCTGATCCACGTTATGCAGAAGAACTGAAAAAAATTCTAGACGAAGTTGGAAGTGATTTTAGTGAAGAAGATGACTGTGAAGAAAATTTCTGCGAAAAAAAAAGGCGAGCAGTGGTTTTGATGTCATCATTGCATCATTCGATAGAAACAGACTCGGAAACACAGAAACCTGAAATAATTGGTTTTTATAACAGAACCAAAGGTGGTGTTGATGCTTTAGATGAAAAATGTTCTGTCCATTCCTGTAGTAGGAGAACAACGCGTTGGCCTATGGCTCTTTTCTACCGGTTAGTAGATATGAGTACAGTAAACGCATACATTTTGCACCAAGGTTATAACCAAAACCCTGTTATGACCAGAATGGTGTTTTTCGAAAGAATTAGCGAGAGAATTAGTCCAACCACTACTACACACGAGAGGGAAAAATCCAAGAATAAATCGAGAATTGCGCCTGACGATAAAGCGGATTTTAGGAAAAGAAGCTGAGTCTAAGGATGTGGAGCAGTGCACAAAAGAAGCAAAATTAAAATCAAGGAAAACATGTCGTCTGCGCCCCCCAAGCAAGAAAAGAAAGACAGCATATTTATGTTTATCTTGCCAAGACCCTGTTTGTTTGGAATGCACGCAAAAGTTATGCAATGAATATGCTAAAGAAGACGAAAACTAAATTGTTTACTATCAAGATACTGATATTTTAGGTACTGTCAAAATTTTTCTGTATTGTGCTACATACAATTTTCTGCGGTTAAAATTTGCTTTAAATATTAACTAATATAGATAAAATAGTTAATTCAAAATAGATGCATTCTTATTTTTAGTTTTATAGAATTTAGTGCAGCATATGATTTTCATCGAAAAATTTGAGGCTATGGGGAAATTTTCTGGGAAAAATTTAATTTCACTTTAAAGTGTAAAAACATATTTTCTTTTCAGAGTAAAATGTTCAAAGAACATCTAAGTGAAATATCATGATGATATTTTAATTAGACGATTTTTAAAAATTTATTATAATGCGCGGTCTCTGAGACCGCACGTCCCCTGTTATGTTCAACTTTTTCCCCTCCCCTGTTACGGGTTAATCAAATGAAGTAAATAAACATTTAAAATCAAAATTAAATAAACAAAGCAGATTATTGGCATTCAATCAAATTAGCATTTCTTTTCCCATTTCGAAACTGCCGATATTCAAGTTGTCTATTAACCGACATTGACATACGTATATTACACAACTTGCCATTTAGGCAAGGACACAATTTGGAAAATATATAATAAAAATAGAAACCGGTTAAAATGTGTTTCAGTACCACTTTGATGATAACAAAACAAGTAATTAAAAAACAAGAATTGGTTAAAAAGTGTTCCTGTATCAATTTTATAGTACATTATAATGAAGTGTATAATAAAAAATACGTTCTAGTTAAAAAGCGCTTCAGTACTACTTTTATGACAATGAAACCAGCATTTAAGAAAAGTACTGGTTAAGAAGAGTTCCAATATCCTTTTATGGTATTATGATAGCGAAATATATACAGAAAAAGTAAGTATTGTATACAGAAATATATACAAAAAAAAAAGTTCCGTACTTTTTTCGTACCATATAATAAAAAACCGGCACCGGTTCAAAATTATTGCAGTACCTCATTTCTGGTACCATACTAACAAAAACATGCAATAAAAATATTCTAGTACCAGTTTTTAGCACCACGTTTTGGTAGTTTCTGGTACTTTGGTACCTTTTTGGTACCATATTTTGGAAACGTACGATAAAAGTAATTACTTGTTAAAATTGTTCTATTAACCATTTTTATGGTACCATGTTACCAAAACATATAATAAAATCAATTACCGGTTTAAAAAGAGTACCAGTAGCAACTTTTCTGCTATCATGCTACCAAAACATGCAACGAAAAACAGGTAGTGATTAAAATGCGTTGAGTACCTTTTTCATCGAGTCATGCTACTAAAGCGTATAATAAAAACAGGTACCGATACAGTCAATAAGTGTATCAGTATTAGTTTTCGGTACAATGCCACCAAAAAAGCAAAAGTGGTAGTAAAAATAAATGATACCGCTTGCAGCTTATGCAGGTGAATGCATAAACGTGAGTTGACTAGATCCTTGATACTGCGATTCCGGATCCAAGGAAAGATTTCTGGAAGTTACTTTATGTTCTTTGCTTTAATTTTGTGAAGCAAATTTACCAATTTAGACTTCAAATTGACTATCATTTAGAAGACATCAGGCATTTTTACACTTTAAATTCTCTCCCACTTAAAGAGCGACTCAAGAGTAGGGGAACCCAGGTGATGAGTTATCGTGTCCGATATTGACACAGTTGTTGAGTCACTTAAGATTTTTTTTTGGAGCGAGAAGTGGAAGAAAGCCTCTCTGCCCTGCTGAGAATTGAATTCCGGAACTCTCGATGATAGCCGGACTTACTTCCAAATAGTCAACGAAGGTATGCGGTAAGAAGGGAAAAATAGCTTGCAACCATAGATGATTTTTTATATACAAGTAATATGATTATTTTTATACTTAAAAGTTTCTATATGTTTACAGGATAACTTTAAAAATATTTTTGAATTTAAACAAAAATGTTAGTTTGCAGTCTTACATATTTCCTAAGTATTGATATCATTTTCAATCTACGAACATTTATGATGACTTATATATAATGCTTTATTTATTCTATTGAAAAAATCCAATTTCCGTTTCAATTCATTTTTCTTTACCCCTTTTTATGTATTCTTGTAAATTTCTGTAAATATTTAGATCCTTTTATTCGCATTGCTTGTAATTGCTGCATTGTTGCGTGTATTATTGTGGCATTGCGTATTGTTTTATTTATTTGTTTTCTTAATTTTTTACATTTAGAGTAATAGTTTTAAGATTTAGTTTGCGTACAATAGAAATTTTGACCACACGTTTTATATATAAATATTAATTTCCATTCTACTTTCAGTTAAATCATGCAACGTTTAGATTGTTGAAATATCTCAGACTGCGTAAAGTTCCATTGTGGTGTAACTAATTATTATGATTTAGATCTTTGCTGTCACTTTTAATTTCCTTTTCCATTCCAGAATGCAAATCAGGTTTGTGAGTATTTAAGATGAGGTTTTCGGATTGTGGGGCACTGCGTATTTCTGCCATATTACCAGGTCTCTGCTAGTTTAGATAAGATTGTATTCTTCAGCATTGCGTTTTCCACTGCTTACATTTAAACTGTTTCTGCGGTGAGACTTTTTAAGCCAACTCCGTGTTAAAACCAATTGTGTAGCCTTTGCCTGTTAGACATAGATTTAAATCTGAAATTGACTGGTACTTTAAGTTACATCGCCACATGCTGTGGTTGACTTGTAAGCACGAGTCATGCGTTTATATTCGAATTCTGATTTAATAAAAGTTTTGATTTTAAACCTTCTTAACACTTTGCAGTTCTTTTCAGACACAGCGATAATTTCATCTAAGTCTGTTAAGAGTTTGTATAAAAATACCAAACTCTATAACTATAAGATACTGGCTAAAACGCTCTTAAAGGGCTTTAACAAAACTTATGTCGCCAAGTTGGCGAATTTCGAGAAGTTTCAGTAAAACGGACTGTTAAAGCTCCAAAAGCTATTTTTTCTAAAGCTTCCAGAAGCCAGCACAACTCATATAAATACGGTTCTGAAAGCCAGAATGAAATAGTTATTACTCAGATTTGAGAGACTGCGGTGCAAAGTGGGTTAGCTGAACTGTAATAAAGTTTACTCCATGAGCAATAGGGGGAATTATGATATTTCTTGGAAGCTAATAATGATTTACTGAATATTCGCTTTCTTCTTGAGCTATATACAGCTATTTTTTTGCTATATGATTTTGCTAGATACAATAAATTATCTATTTTTCTGTTTATTTTGAATGATTATTTACATAGGTCCTTAGTTTGTAGTGGCCAAGACTAACTTTTTTCTAGCTGATTTATAATTTATTTTGAAAAAATTCTTGCTCCTTCACTTGGGGAATACTTTTGCTCGTTTTTTTCATTAAGAAAACATTGAAAAAATTTCGTCGGGATAACGAAAACATTTCGTCGGGAATTTTTTATCAGTTTCGAAAAACTTCGTTTTTTGATTTAAAAAAAAAAAAAAAAACTTCTGCTTTACACAAAACGTTAATTTCTTTGTTTTCAGTTCAGTTACCAAATATATATTATTTTGTTGCTAAATAACATTTACACTTTTTAACCTTCCAGCGGGCGCGCGTATGTGTGACATACACTAGATTTTGATTTTGAATTTTTTTCGTAGACCAGAAGGCGCTATGACCGCGTGTTCTTGGCTATTCTCTCCTCTTCGTTCGCCCTTCTTTCAGTCGTCTGCTGGATTTCGAGGGGTTAATGCGAGTCTGCAGATTTACTATTTGTATTCCAGAAATACGCGCGACCGTTGAAGTAAGTTTTTGCTATATCTAATTTCCTTTTTTATTATAGAAAATCTTTATTATTTTACATCTAAATTTTATGATTTTGTATAATTTGTGTGCATAATTATTTTTAATGATAAAATAGAAGCACTGTATGCGTCACATACGCGCGACCATGTATGATATTTTTGTAGATTTCTTTTCAGTTATGGCGAATAAAAGTAAAATGCTCGACATGAATGATCCGAAGGATCTTGTGATTATAAGAAATATGCTTTTATGTGACAGTGATGACGATGAGGACATTATTTTAGATGAAAGCATTACAGACGAAGAAGAGCGAATTTCAGAAAAAGGTGATTCAGAATCGGAAATTAGTGCAGAGGCCAATTCTGAAGAGGGAAATAATGATGATAATTCTTCCGAAATGTATATAGCTCATCAAATGAAAAACAGAAAAGTCATCGATTCTTGGACATGGCATAAAACGAAAACTAAACGAGCGCCTCGTAACATATGTGTTCATGTTTCTGGAGTCATCGGTGAAGCTAAATAGCTAACAGATATTTTGGATATATGGAAATGCCTCTTTACTGATAGTTTGATAGAAATCATCGCTGAAGATACGAATAAGTTTATTTCTTCTGTGAAGTCTAATTATTCTCGTATAAGGGACAGCAGAGAAACGAAATGGGCAAAAATAAACTCTTTTGGGTTTACTTTACTTAGCTGGTATTTATCATGGTAACAGAGTTCTGGAATCTTGAGGAACTGTGGAGAATGGAGGAATTTCAAGTAGTAATGAACTTGAAGAGATTTTTGTTTTTACTAAGAGATTTACGGTTTGATGACATAAACACAAGGGCAGAACGAAGGGAAGTCGACCGCTTGGCTCCAATAAGAAACATTTTTGAAAAGTTTGTCTCTAATTGCCAGAAGTGCTATTCACTTGGAGAGAATGTCACAACCGATGAGAAATTAGAAGGATTTTGAGGAAGATGTGGTTTCATTCAATACATTCCCCCAAAAAACCGAACAAATATGGCATAAAAATTTATGCCATGGTAGACGCTCGTATGTTTTACACATACAATATTGGCATTTATGCTGGAGCGCAGCGAGATTGTCTCTTTACGTGGTGTGGTGTATTTAATTATGGCAAAGCACACTAGGGCTATCTGCCTAAGAGGAGGGATGCCTTTCGTGGAGGACTTTCTAAGGGAAACTGGCTCGTATACACGTTACACATGGGGAAAACCACGAAAACACCCATGCAGCCAGCCCGTTCGCGGGATTCGAACCTCGGACCGAACTACCAGTGTTCAGCGACTTTACCGCTCGGCCGCTGGTGGGCTGTCTCTTTACGTAAGCAATAAACCACAAGATGTTGTAAAAAGGTTGACAGAACCCATTGATAACACTGGAAGAAATGTAACCACAGACAACTGGTTTTCAAGTTTTGAGTTAGTACGAGAAATAGATGAAAAAAATTGTCATTTGTAGGTACTTTGAAAAACAATAAACTCAAATTCCGGATCAGTTCAAGCAGACGAAAACTCGGGAACCCAATACGAGTCTTTTTGGATTTAGAAAAAATATTGCACTTCTCTCCTATGTACCCAACGTTATAGAAACGTCATATTGATTTCAAATCTTCATGATGACGTAGCAATAGATGAAAATACCCAAGACCAAAAAAAAGCCTGAGATTATTACATTTTACAATCGTACCAAAGGAGGTGTGGATACAGTGGATAAACTCTGTGCTTCCTACAATGTTGCCAGGAACACCAGGCGTTTGCCTCTTGTAGTTTTCTATGCTGAATATAGCAGCAATCAATAGCTACATAATTCATTCAACAAATAATAGTGAAAAATTACTTAGAAGATAATATCTGCGAAAGCTAGCAAATGCTCTTGTGAAGGAAAACGTTGAAAAAAGAATCCCTAACTCTCTTCAAAGTGAGCTGAAATTTAAATTGTTGAAACGAAAAGCAGAATTAGCTGTTCGTTGAAAAAGAAATGACTTCAGGGAAAAAAAGATGCAAAGGCCCTGCCAAAAGTGACAAGCATACTAGAATTACGAGGTTCAGCTGTGAGATTTGTTTAAAATTCATTTGTCTAGAGCACTGTAAACATATTTGTTCAGACTGCACCGATGCAATGAAGTGACTATGAAATTGATTTGTTATGTAATATTTAATGTGTTTTTCACTTACTGATTAAAAATATAAAAGTTCAGTTGAAATATTGGCAGTTTAACTTTGTTTTACTTTCAAGTTAGTTTGATAAGTCTTTAGTCCATTTTATATTGTTTTTTGCTTTATACTTATTTTATTTTCCTTAATTTAAAGTTAATATTGTTTAACTCAATTGTACTTATTAACATTTAACTACTTACAAACTAATTTTAATTTTTTTGCTCTGGAAAACTTATTTTTTTATAATAGCGTATCTAAGAAATACGCGCGACCTTTCTTGTTGGTGCAGAAAGCGCGCCCGCTGGAAGGTTAAGTATAGTACTTCAGCAAAATTCACCCTACATTGCAGATACCCAGTATTATACAATTTCTAAAAAGTATGCGGATTAATGATAATAACAGCATACAAGAAGAAACTTTCATCTTTTATTTGACCTTTGAAATAGTTTCCTGAATATTAATTTTCATTAGTAAAGATTAATTTTTCACTTTGAAACTTCATTTAAACTAGGTAGCGCCATAAAACAGACTATAGAAATGAACATGGTTTTAGTAAAACAAAAGAGTTGATTAGAAGCTCCATATTGATTCTTTTGCAGATTCTTGTTTCAGGCATTTTATTATTATTTATTTAAACTCTGATAAATATCTGAAAAAATAAAATAAAAGGTGAAATTAGGTTGCTCCAGAATTAATTAAGAAAACTGAAGAAAACAAATATTGTCAAATTTAAAAATTTTTTACAGAGTGAATGAGGTACTTTTTTGTAATGCACATGTTTTTGACTTTCAACAATTTTCTAACACATTGCTGATTTTTTTTAAAATTTAGACAAGACTAATAAGTGGCAAATTTTATTAAAAAGCAAGATTAGCAAATAGCAAGTTAAATTAAGCAAGTTTTTTTTTTTTTTTTTTTTTTTTGTCTTCTTTCATGGCATTGAATGAAGTATATTTGTAGAAAAATATGAATATGTGACAATTCATTACTCTGCAGACTTATTTTTCCTTTACGCATAAATTTTGAAATACGTAATACTTTTACATTTAATTAATTCATTTCCATTATTCTATTGGATCCATTATATAGTTCTATTATACTATTCATTCTTCCATTATTATTGCAAGATTCTTATGATAACTACCCAGTCATTATGACTTTTCTTTGCTTTTTTTTTTAGTTTTTATCTTCTTCCTTCCGTATTCTTCACCAGAACGCGAAATAGTTGAGATAGTTGAAGAAATACATTGCATATAAGTTGAGGGTTTTTGACTCTTAGTCAGAGGAAGAATTTCTGGCGCTGCACTGTTAGTCTCTAGCAACTCAATCTGAAATTTATTAATTAGCTCGACTTTCGCACTCTGTTGCAGCCTTTACTTTAAACGTACTCGCCAGTAAATTATTTCAGCCAGCTTGCAGTTTAGTTTCTGAGTGTTAGCCTTAGATTACTTTAACAGCATTTAAATTTATTATCTGACATTATTTAATTTAAATCGGCACAAGCAGTGGTTCATCTGAATCACGGATTGTGCTGTTTATGTTAAAACTCAGTTTGATAAAAAGCTTGTTTAAAACTTTGCAAGTTTTTCAGACGTAGTGCTAGCTTAGTGCTTGTTTAGTAAGGCTGTAGGACTAAAATTTAAGTATCAGACCGCATACAACCTCATACAGTAATGCCAAATGCTTATACCAGATTTTTAATTGTGTTGGAGTCCGGCTTCGTTAGTTTTCTATTTTTTTTTAGATAAATCACAATTATAATCGAAGCAGTAGATAACAGCGGTTAGGGCATCTATTTTAAGAATCTGAACTACAAACTCAGCGGAAATTTCTTTTGATCCCGAAACATTTCATTTTAATAATAAGTAAGTCTTAAAATTTTATTATAATTCTATACAATAAATGCTTCTCTTTTCCTTGGGAAGCAAATTCTTGGACAGAGACTGAGGCTTTAAAGAAAGAAAAGCCTTCAACCACTTGTCAAAATTTTATTCTTAATGACATGCAATAAATTTATGAAACTTGTTTGAGAATCGGTAAATTTTTTTCGCCACTGAAAGTATTAGAAATGATTACTCAAGCCATTATATCCGCTGATTCGGTATCGGTGTTACTCGTGATTTGCAAAGCGGAACCGTTGTTTATATTCCTAAATATGCTCCACATTACAGTAAGCTTAACATACTGAGGTATTAATATAAACGGTTCAAACATGTCCAACGCTGATGTCTTTTCACAGAACTGTCAAACTTTTTGAAATGATGTAACCAGACATGGGTAATGAATATGGTCATTTGTATAAAACCTTACATTTTCTCGGCTCACATCAACTGTCGGATTCAGAGGCAATATTTTTCCCTATCACAATCTGCTTGACAGTTAGAATTATGTTGTTAATGGATTGCGGTCAAAGAACGTTGGATTCTTCTATCTTTGCTTTCATCCTACACTATTCGCTTTTGTATTAAAATTTTCATCCACACATACTTTTTGTAGCGTTATTTATATTCACCTCAATGAAGATTTAACCGTCTTGCCTTTTCTTAATGATGTGATGAAAAATGAATGATTTTCGTTTCTGAGATTCCTTAAAACATTACATTTTACTGTATATTCAGGGCTTAAGTCCAGCAGGAGCTTCATATAATATAAGGCCAGGTATTTTATTTCATTACATAATTATTCATCGTTAAACTGACTTAACGTTTCAAAATTTTTATTTTCTTCGTTGCATTTTGAGTTTTAATTGTTTTATTATTAGTCCAAAGGGAGCTAGCTATTATTCTCGAAATGATATATTGTATTTCTTCACTATAAATGGCATATCGCATATCAAATTGTTGCCACCAATATTATCGCCCTGTATTAACTATAAAGAAATTAAATAATGAAGAATCTGCATGCGTGTATATTCCTTGCACTGTGACAAAACGACGGTACCTAGAGCCATTACAGCTTGAATAACATAGTCCTTCACTTGAACATGTGCAACCGGAAGCCCGAAATTTGAATTTTGAATTTTGAATTTGTTTTACTATTTATTTCATATTTTGCAAAACTTTAATGAATTTTTGATTAACACATTCAACGATTTGAAAGTGAGCAGTTGCAACATTTTTCATAGTAAAACATT